AAAAAAGGGATATATCTTCGTTTCTATGAAGACTTTCAGATAATAATTTTCGCTGAAGACTTGAGGGCATTCTGTTTTAATTTAGAATGCACAAAACGTCACCAGAATCGACGTTTTCAATGTTTTAAATTAGGTCCAAAGATGAAGTTGTCTCCAGTTTTCCTGCTACCCGAGTGACTGCGTCGCACGGTATTTCCATCAAATTGTCCACCAACAGGCAATATATTTCAATGTGCATACTCAGAAAAACACATTGCTAGCTAACTGCATTTCGATATTTTTACATAAATGTCTGTAATCTTCTAAAATTATGAAAAACTCACCTTGTTTATCGTGTCACACGTCAAAGATGGGTGCTCACAACGAGGAACGGAAGTTGCTCACAACATTTTAACCGATGGACATTTTTCACTCGTTGTGAGTTAAACGGGCGTGGTAAGATAGGAATATATTTTACCGAGTGAGCTAAACTAAACAAATTTTCTTTTTATTATATGCAAAGATACGTTTCAAAAAGACATTAAACCTAATACTGAATGAATAGCGCGCCAAATAATAATACAACGTGACGTCATTTACGACGTCACGTCATTAAGTTGGTACCCAGTTCTGTGCACGCTGGTATGTCACTGAAACAACGTAAGGGGCTTAAATTCAAAACAGTGAGATTATCAAAGTGGTAATTTCACTGTTTCAAACAGTGAAATTACCAGTTTTATATCACTGATATATTTCTATAAACCACCGAAAAGCATGTAATAAAAAGGCTGTCACTCAAGTTTTATGATAACCAAAATGTTGAACATTTCCTTTTAAAACAGAAACGCGTTAACATGAAAGTTAGTTTTTTGTTTTATGTGACTGTTTCAAATAATTATGTTTCAAATGAATTTGTCATCTATACTACTTGTACTTCACGTTTAGTTTTTAGGTACAAAACTCTCAAAGTTAAATCTGGATAAATCATTGAAACAAGACATGAGTAAACGTGCACGTCGTGTTCTTTCAGAATAAATACAATAAAAGGGAAACACTCTTCAAGTGTGTCTTGACATGCTAAAAACACTTGAAATACCCGGTTTTTCCAATATTTGAGATCTAAGGTATAACACAATATTAAAAGACAATATCTTATTATTTTTCAACAATCCCAAAGACAATTGGTTTTAACCGAAATGGAATATTGCTAGAAAATTATGAACAACTTGGAATTCATAATATTCTGATACTGATGTGCATTATATACTTTTAAGATTCTTAACGTGTATGAAATACAGTTAAAAAGTTTGGAAAAGGTGAAAACTCAAACAAAACCATGTTTAGGGAAATTGAGGTAAAATAACCAGAAAAAATATTTGGGTACATACATGTGCAGCGTATAATGTATGGAAATTGACGTATTGAAGGGAAACTCAGTCAGCCCATTGTTAACAGCTTGCCTATAATATGTGTATTTAATCATATGGATGGGCTGTGCCCCCACCACGACGTGCACGTATTTCCCAGGGTGAGGATAGTGTCATATCAGATTTACTCCAAAATAATTGTCCCTTGTGGACCTTATGTATGAAATATTGCTAACTGTAACAGAAAGTTCATCACCAACATCATATAAAGGTTCTGTTTGTTTTTATCTAAGAAAGTTTTGTTCTTAGACGGATTTCAACGTATAAAATCTTAAGCTTGCATGTATCGCATTTTCATGACTGTTATCAATTGTCTTACATAATTAGCATCAACTTAATGTAAAATAAACAGTAATTATACGACTGTTTGCATATTGAAATTCTGCGATATTCGATTTGACATATCTAATGCTTAAATAAACTTTCTATCAATCCTAAATTGGGAGTTTGTATTCTGATGTTTTAAAGGAGTTAAATCTTCTATGTGGTAGAGTAGAAGAAAGTAAGCACTTGGAAAGTTGGAAAAACAAATGTGAACAATTCATAAATTATTTCTTTTTTGTCGGTTTATTTATCGAAATTTCTTTACTTAATAGGGAGTACAAACTACAGTATATAGACGCAGGCATAATACATGGGACACGATTTAAACAACTCAACAAATATACATAATGTATATCCAACATATTTAAATCAAAATAAAGTTTAAATTGATTAATTAAATAATTAATTAATTGTTTGATTAATTAAAATACTTAAATCAAACCAAATTTTAATTAATTAATTAATTATTAAGTATTAAAAGTGAAGATCAAAACCATCAGTCCACAATGAACTCACGTGCAAGTTGTGGTTATCAGACTATATTTGAGGGAAAAAACTGTATTTTAATAAAGGTGCATAGTTTATTATTATCTTTGATACACCATGGGATGAACAATTTGATAATGATATAACATATTACATATAAAAAGACAATATTTAGTCCAGAGCTTTTGTATCATTATTTGAAGGGAAATTTATTTTCAAATTAAAATGTTCTATGCATTTTTCTTGTTTATGGGGGCTTAAAGGGAAACTCAGTCAGCCCATTGTTAACAGCTTTATTATCATATGTACCTTTAATCAGATTGATGGGCTGTGCCCCCACCACGACGTGCACGTGTTTCCCAGGGTGAGGATTTAGTCATATTAGATTGACTCCAAAATAATTGTCCCTTGTGTATCTTATGTATGTAATATTGCTAACTTTAACAGAAAGTTCATCACCAGCTTTTAGTTCTACCAGTGACGAGACATAGCTATTATATGAATTGTAGTATCGGTTGGTAGAGATAGTATGTGGTTGTACATTTGTTACTAATTCGTTTTCTTCTCCTTCAAGAATATTGAATTTAAAAATACCGTGCTTGATTGGTTTACTAATATCTTTTACATCTGGCAAGCCAGATGCAGGATTGCAGGATTCGAAAAAGTCAAGATTAGAATAAATAAAATATGTGCCGTCTACTGGAACAACTAGCCGACCATTTCTGTATCTAATTCCATATCTGATAAAGCCTTTTGTATCATAAAGTTCTCTACCGTTACACCAATCTCTAATAGGAACCATATCAGCGCCAATGTCAACTGGAAAACAAAAGTGAATACTCAATTACAAATTAATAATCTTGTACATTAATTATCGTCGATATTTGGTTGTGTTAAACTGTTTCGAAGTGTTCTCATAGCGAAAAAAAAAAACAAATAAGGAAAGAAGAAATAGAAAACGAAAAACAAGCATACTTTTTCGCAAATTCGATTGCTCCTTTCCAGTGAGTTTTGCGGCTGGTTTCATTTCCCAGAAACTTTTGTCATATATATTCATTAAGCGGGCTCTATTTCCATCAAGATAGTCCTGCTGTTTCTTTTTATCTTGCCTTTTGGCTTCATCATACTGTGTGACAATGGTCTGTTGAATAAAAAGGCATGTCATATACCTTTGATTTTCAAATAACAAAGTAAGAAATATTTAAGTACATATTCTTCGATTTATTTCATTATTTGACTCGTGTATAAAACGATAAATGGTACATGTACTTAATTTGGTATAAAGAACTAAAATAACACAGAAATGGTTGTTATTTCAGTAACTATATGCGGTTATTCACTAGTAAGTGAAAAACGAAGTGTGGTCTCAATTTCTCGATATGATCCGTATGTTATATTAAGTAGTGTTGTTCAGTGTAAGTTTGACTTAAAGTACACACATGTTTAAGTTAAAATAACAACTATCATGAGAATAGGTGTCTAATGTTAAACAAGTAAGTTCCATGAGGAAATTGTACGATATTGACTGTATTCTTCAAAGATTTAACAATTGGTTGCTGTCTGGAGTCGTATATTCATTGGCGACGCCGGTGAGCGGCGTCGTCTTTTATGGAATGCTTTTTATTTTTGCCTATGGAAGGAGCTGTTATTATTAGCAGTTAATTTCATGTTGTGTTAATTATATTTATTTTGATTCGTAAAAATCAAGTAAACAAATATGTTGTTATATTTGTATTTAATAACTTTATATAAAAAGCATGTGCATTGTGATATTATTTTCACGAAATTGCAGGCACTGATTAACAGCTTGTCCCTTTGTTTTATTGACAATACTAAAACCCGGATTTCGAATATCGTTGTGGTCTACATTGATGCTCATTCATTTATATATTTTCAAAACTTTCCTACAAGAAGAAAGTTCACCTGCAAATGAGTATTAGGATAGGTAATGGACTGTTGTAAACGATTATCCTATTGATTTTATCCATATTACGTTTATCTGTTGAACAGAATGGTTGTTTTTACAAAGTGTACCAGTATCCGGATGTTGACAGCTATCCGATTTTCTGCAATTACTGCTGTCACATGGCCATCTACTTTTTTATGAATACTTTACCATTAATTTGCATGGCATAATTAAAATGAGCCTGCAACATTTCTTAATTTTGATGTTTAGGGTGTTTTTTTGGGTTTCATGTTTTCTTTATTTCAAGGGGAAGTAACTCATGTTTACTAAATTATTTGTTCTTTTCTGTCTATCTAAGGTATTACTTACAATTTTTGTTTTATAAAATTTACCAGTTGTAAGGTCATCAAAAGCATAGAGGCCCTGATGAGTGAATATTGATATATATATATATACTTTTACTGGCTTTATATACCCAATATTTCATATTTATTTAATAGAAACTTGGAATTATTAATGTTATGTGCATACATTTATATCTTAGTATATTGGTATGATGAGACTTATAATATTTCTGAATTTAAAGAGTTGCAGTTATGTCATTATTATTAAAGGGATGAGACTTTCATTTAAAGTTATAAATGATAATACACGTATTGATTGAAAATGTCCTGAAACTTGGATCAAGCAATATAATTGATAAAGCCTCAAAAAATCATGTTCTGAATAGTTATTCTAATTTTTTTCTAACATGTGCATAGTTTGAAAAGGACAGCTTCTGCCTTATCTATTTGTAATGGAGGGACACGGTCTCAATCTCCAGGTCTCCTGAGTCAACCCGACAACAGACTTTTCATAGAGTAGATTGTTACTTGCCTTTGAATAAATTTGTGCACTAAATTTTATAGTGGGTGATTTGTGCCACATGAAAACCAACAAAGTACAAAAAGTAACCGGGCGCCAGATGAAAACATGAAAATACAATCTACCACAAAGTGGTTCGTTTGTTGCATTTTCATGTTTTCGCCCGGTGCCCTTAAAATGTAAAATACAAATCAGCCTTCATAAAATTTCTTATCATAGATATTGTACATGTATTAGCACAGTTATATTCACTTTCAAATTGACCTGTTATAAATAATGGCACAACCAATAACTGTCTTAGCCCTTTTTAGTAAAAATAATTATACAATAATAATTATATAAATTGTTATTTTAATTAAGACTATGAGTATGTAAGGTTTTTTTTTCTTATTATTAATTAAGAATTAATTATCTGTTAATTTAAAAATCTAAATATCTGTCACGGTTTAGAACTGTTCACTATTTAGGGGAGAAAATGTGTAAGCGGCCAGATAGCTCAATCGCTACAGCCGCGGTACATTATTCTGTGGGTCACAGGTTTGAGTTCTGGTCAAGCTGAAAGTTTTCTCATCCTGTTACTGCAAATAACCATTAGTTTAATTTACTATGCTCTGTAAACATCAGAAATTCAAGTACATGAATCAATATAGTGGGGAAAAAGGTTTAGGTTTAGAACTGTTTCATTATTAAAGAGAAAATGTGTAGCCGGCCGGATAGCTCAGTTGGTCTTCTGAAAGTCATGGGTTCGAGTCATGGTCAGGCAGTTTCAGTCAGGGTTTAGAAGTGGTTTTTCAACTGACACATGTTTGATTCATTTAATAGATTGCATTTAATTTGAAATGGACAAAGGCAGTATTGTGTGATACTTTTAAATCTACAAAAAGCATTTGGTACAGTTGATCACACTATACTGCACATGAAGAAGTTCTTTTTTCTTCTTCTTCATGGAACTTCAAGCATCTGCCATATGTAATGACATTCTTGCATGGTTCAAGTCTTATCTCTGATAGCAGCTGGTGAATGTGGCTGGTACTCCTTCTCTCTGAATACCTATGGTGTCCCCCTGATGTTCATTTTAGGTCCTCTTTTATGTCTAATATATGTCAATGACATGTCTGCAACCCTAAGCAATAAGCTTTTATTATATGCACAGGCACAAGTATCAGACCTGGGAAGAAAAAATATTACCAGATTGATAAAAAAACATGTGTTCATCTTAAAAGTGTCACAAACCAAAAAAAAATGTAAATGATGACCCCCTTTAAAAATATACTTAAAGTTAATAGTATATTTTTAAAGGGGGTCATTATTTACATTTTTTTTTTTTTTGGTTTTTGACACTTTTAAGATGAACACAGATTTTTTATTAATCTGGTCATATTTTTTCTTCCCAGGTGTGATACTTGTGCCTGTCATTATATGATGATGACTCAGGTATCCTTGTATCTGGTAAAGTAAATCTTAAGATTGGTTTATTGACTATAAATTGTCTTTGCATCTTGGCAAGACAGAGTCTATTCTTTTTGGTTTAAGTTTCAACATAAACTGGGCCAAGCCTCCAGGTCACATGAAATGGTACTGCTATAAAGTACACATCTTTTGTTAAGTATTTAGGTGCAAACCTGGATCAAATTCTTTTGGCGTCGCCCTTTGATGCTTTGCATCAATGCTTTTCTTGTGTTAGTATTTAATAATACCGTGAAATAACATACAGAAGTAGTATCTACAGAGTTACTCCCCTTAATTTTCAATACAACATTTACAATTCAACACAGACAATACCTTAGAATTTTAGTAAGTGTAATTTTTTCATACGTGCATAACTTCTTTGGGAAGGAAAACGATTCTTTATGAATAATAACAGAGTACTGTTAATCAAAAGTAAAATTACACAGTATTTAATAAGAGTAAATGCTGTTTTTGCGACATTTTTAACATAACAGCCCTTTAAGGCAACTTTAAATTGAAATGAATTAATCCAGTCAGTTGAATAACCCATGTCAATCAGGGCAATAAGCCTTGATGTGACGGTTAAAATGCTTATAAAAGGGAGTAGAACAGCTTGAATATTAGATATGTTTAGAATTTGAATAGACAACATCGAAAGGTAATATTGCAGGGGAGTAGAACAGCTGGAATAGTAGATCTGTTTAGAATTTTATTAGACAACAACGAAAGGTAATATTGCAAGGACCTTAGGGCAGTTACATTACTGAAACCGTTCTCAGTGTCCGGTGAAAGAAATATTATAAGATAGTGCCTGTGTTATAGAAGATTTCTTATCAGTATAGGTTGTCTTATGTTCTATGCTTGGAATACTTTCTTACCAATGACAAGCAACTAAACGTTCGTTTACTTTTGGTAGATTTTGAAATTTTGCTGGCACAAAGCATGTCGACCTCGCAATTTTAAGGTAATAAATTCATTTTTTTCGTAAATGAAAATAGATGGGTCAATATTTTACTCAAAGATTAATCTATTGTGCTATGTTTGCATGTCTAAGTATGTAAATATGTCTTATTTAAAAAGAAATGCGAGAGCAAAAAGTTGACTGTGTCGGGGGAATTCGCTACGGCGAGTTAATTACCTTGTGTATATTTCATATAGCAAACGGGTGCTGGATAGAAATTTTGTTCTTGATGATTTGAACATCATTGGCATGGCAAATGTGCCGAACGCCTGTGAGGATACGAAGAAACGTTACAGTTCCTATGGCAAGCTTAAACCTATTTGGTTATCTCGTTTTCCATATCTGTTTATATCTTACACATAGAAACATCTTAAACACAAACATTTATCTTAAGAATAAAGTTCATGAAGTACTAACTATCTTCATGTATAGCGATTTTAAAACATGACGTTGGTAGTCCCAATGTGTGTATTTAATTTCATTTTTCATTTAAACTTGGGGATTAGTCAAAATATATTGACGTGCCAAAGCTTGATTCTGAGATATTTTCGTGCTGGGTCAGAATCTCGCTTTTACGTCAAAACCAAAAGGAGACCTTTCTGTGGTTTCAACAAAACACAAATAGAAACATGTGTTTCGGTACAACAAAAATCGGAAGTATTGTGAACAGTTAAATTACAGAAATATGTGGTCAAATATGTTTTAACAAGGAAATAATTATTTTAGAGAAAGACACAAGGATCAGTCTTCAATCAAATGAATGACCCCGTATTGTGTAATTAGAAAGTTTATTCAATTCTAGGACAACGCATCATAATTTGATAGTCCATGTGTAATAAAATTCAAATTTTCAATACAGATACATAAAAAATATTAAAGATTTAAAACAACAAAGTAAAACGCATGTAAATACGAATGACTTACAGTCGAGCATCGGGAATTCATCAACATATTTACAT